TGTTTGCCCAGCGAAGGACTTCATTCGTAATACTTGTAAATACAAGGGACATTTTGGGAGACTCTGTAAATCAAAAGCTAAAAATCCGACTCTAAATAGTGCAGATGAAAATGTAAATAATCAGAAATGTCAATTTTCCCAGTCGCAACCACAATCGATCTGTGAAGAAAATTTTTGTGGTGTCATAATTGCCTGCTCAGAAGAGGGAACTAGCGACAATGACGATTATTTCGTTTTATACATGAGAAAAATCTACAATAACAGTTAAGCGACCAAAAAGCTGGTTAAAATCGGGTTAGGCAACGATGCAAGTTTGTGCTTGAATATACCACTTGACCTCGCCAGCCCGGTCAGTTTCTTGAAAAAAATGTCCTCGACGAACTAAAACTAAGAGATCCTTTATTGAAAATACTTCCCGCCAATGAGAAAACACGAGCAATCTAATGTAGTTTCACCAACGATACTATCAATATTATTGAAAAAGTTGTGGTTCCAATTCGATCCAACGGATGTATTTCTATGGAAACCCTTTTTTTCACTTCGGGACATGAGTGGAGCATATTAGGGATGAAAAATTTGCCGAGAATCGGCGTTGAAATTGCCCAACAGCAGTGTCTCCTTCCAGTCAAAAACGTCTAACTCCCAGACATGTGTAAGTCAGACATTGGCAGAAATAAAACTCTAAAATTGTGCACACAATTTAAAGGCCTTTTTACAAGAGTTGGAAAAATTCCATTGGATAGGAAAACTACACTTTTTCATTGTTCTTTTAAACCAATCCAAACTAAGGGTAGAAGAGTACCTCCTCATTTGTTAGAAAATGTAACAACAGAATTGAAAAGAGTGGAAAAAGAAGGCACATCATCAAACTGGAAAAACGCGACGAAGATTGCTTTAAAAGCCCAATAGTCATCATGCAAAAAAAGACAGTGCAAAAAATTAGCTCTCTGTTCAAAATTGGTAAACGACAAAACTTTTAACATTATATACCAAATGCTGAATATACATGAATTGATCGACAATATCGAGTTACAACTGTCAAACAAAAAAATGATGGAGTTGTGGTTTAGTAGCTTGGATCTGCTAAACCTATACAGTCAACTAAAACTATGCAACAACACAATCAATCAATGTAACTTTAGTTTTGTGAGAGGGAAAATTACTGGGACGTACCACTTCTTCACCGGATTTTATGGTTAGGGAGATATGCCAAACGAAATTCAACGAGTAACGGATTCCCTTTTAAAGAATATACTTTTTACAAATTTTTACTTTGATCAAAAGGCTTTCTGGAAGAACATCAAGACATCCTATTAAAAATTTTGAAAATCGTAGAAAATAAGAACATGGCAGTCAAATGGGAAACAGGTGCCTTTTTCCAAAAAAGATCAGTCGCAACAGAACACTTTCAGAACTATTTTACGGTTGCGAGTTTGAAATTGTGACCGACAAAACGGCTCTTTTATCCGCAATAAGTGATAATCACGGTAACTAAGCCCTGCAAAAAATTGACACTCTGGATAAATAGACTTTTACTTTTCACTTTCAAAATTAGACATATACCAGGAAAGGAAATGGGATTTACCGATCTTTAATCGAAATTATTTTCTAGAAAAGCCCTCCCACATCACATTATGACAACGAATTCGTGCTTGCATCAATCAACAAGGTAACCGGCAATTTATGAGTAAATACTATGTGTATAAAGATGAAATGTAAGAAGAACAACTCATCGTTCAAAATCCAGTGGACGCTAATAGTGGATATAATATAACAAAGGACGCTAATAGTGTATATAGTATGACCTAAATCCACAAAAAAGGCAGACTTAAGTGCATTTCAGCTTTCAGCTTCCATTCAAAAATTAACATTTATTGGAGATATCCAAAGAATTTCTATCAGCTTCGGTAACGATACTATGTCTCGAATTCACAAAACCTTAATTTCTAAATATGAAGGGGACCTGGAGTTACCATCTTCCCCGTTATCATTCGAAGACCCTTGCTCCAATAAGTTAAAACAACTTATTACAAATGAGGATAAAGTTTTAAAAGAAGTAAAAAATGCAGTGGAAAACGGGAATCCACTGGATAAATTTGGAGCTTATTTCAAAACCTTCCAGAGAGACATACATTTGAGAGAGGGATTACTATTTAACGATAACAATTTAATCGTTTCGGCAGCTCTAAGATCCCAATTTATGAGTTTGTTACGAAACACATCCCGAAAAGTTCGGCATGAAAGCATTGGCAGAAAATGTTTGGTGGCTGCATCTGTACAGAGAAATCTACATCTACGGGAAAAATTGCACTCAATGTCTAAGAGCCGGTAAAAAATTAAAAGTCTTTTTGGGTACGGCAAACGCGCAGAAACTACCGGAAAATACAAAACCGAAGGAAGAAATTAATTTAGACTTTGCTGGTCCACTGGATAAAAATTGGGGCTTTTCGAAATACCTATTACCCTGTATAGATAGATTTACTAAATTTCCCTGGGCGAAGGTTGTAAATAACAGCTCCACCGCGACAACTCTTTCCTTTTTGACTGATTACTGCAATCTACACGGGCTTCCAAACTCGATCAGAGTAGACCATGGGTCATGTTTCGTATCAAACGATTTTAAAAATTTTTATGAGAAGAACAATATCAACTTAATCATACGCACCGTGGGGGATAACAGATCCAATGGAGTCGTTGAACGCCAAACTTACACTGTAAAAGCGAAACTTATGGCGATGTTTTTTAGCGAACCTAAACCAAGATTGAGTTCAACCAATGATGAAATCATCTCGAATCTCCGCTCGGCAAAGCAACCAGCCATTGGATGTGCACCTTTTTAATAACATTTTAATAGATCTCGCAACACTTTTTAGAAAAGCCTAGTCTCACACGCAATTGATTTAGATAACGGGAATTCGATCATGGTCAAAACAAGAGCCAACGACGACACTGAGGACCGCTACTTAGACGAGACAGAAGCAGACAATAAAGGCTATGAGAGTGACCCTCAATAAAGGATTTGAGTGACAAATTAACTACTGTTGCAATAAGAGCTCCTCTGTTGAACCTTTTCACTCAAGAAGGTAACTGTATAAGAAAGGCGATTAATAGGAAGGAAGGAAGGAAGGAAGGAAAACCATATTGCAAGCCCCTTAACCTAAAAATACTATCAGACACTGATAACACAGTAACACTCGTTAACGTGCATGTCCTTAGAAAATCAGACCTCACCTTCAAAACAAAACAACCAATGGCTCCAAATGAAATTGCAAGTATATCAAACACCTTAGTTAACGTTGATGATTTAGCAGAAAAGAAAGAGACATTCTCCAGCGAAGAGACTGGACTCCAACATTGCGAGACCTTCCACTTATAGAAGAACCTTGGAGACTTCAGCTGCTAACAGACGAAAATCCAATACTTTCATGTCAAAAGAATTCCTCTCTTTTGCTTCAGAACCCACGTCCAGGTTAGAATTAGACCACTGGGATAACACCTTTAGAAGATTATTTAGGCTCAGACGCAGGTGTGAAATCGGATTCACAATTTATCACTCTTGAAAATTCCCTAGATTCTTGAAGACTACTGGTAACGGACGACCGGGAATCCACTGGAAACACCACTCTACCTTTGGGCACCAACGATGACCCAATCCTCATCGAGAGCTCTCCAGAAAATCCAGCCGAGAATTAACAGATTGCACCATCGTGTAGCTACTCCAGACCTCGGCAAAACCCTGGCCCCCCTAAGTTTTACGATGAAAGGAGATTTGTGGACCAAAGTTGCCCAAGTTGAAGAAATACACTTGGTGAAGGATTCGGACAAAGAACCTCTAATCTCAATTATGCCTGCGACAAAATCTCCCGCGAAGCAACTCCAACGACAACTCCAATTGGATTCACCGTTGTCTTTCTTGACTCCATTGGGGGATTTTCAGCCCAAGCGGTCCTTAGTCGCGGAGACTACTCAATGCTCAACAATAACCCCGTTAACTGTGGAGCCCTAACTAGTAGTCCTATGTTCATCAGAAATCGAGTCTCAAAATAACGAGACACAATCAGATAGCGAAATTTCATCTATTATGGACTCAGAGTTAAGAATTGAGGCGGAAAATTTTCAGAAAAACTTCAACAACAGCTAGACAAAACGTCTCAGCTTTTTTTATTTTAATTACTTGAAAAAGCCATCTTATAGTTGCTAAATTAGCCTCACTTAGTGCTATGATGACAACATTTTCGTCATTGTACCATACTTTTAGTGTAATGGGAGATTTATTTCCTTCACGCGACTTGTAGTTTAGTTAATGGACATATTCAATGAATCATTTGTGTAAATATACTTTTTTTACTGAACACCAATTGTACAGTAAACTTAGTCTTGTCTGTATACATCTGTATCAATTGTATGTAGCCTGCAAATTATTACCACATACATCTCCGTGTACACTTGAATCTTCTCTGTATATTACATGGTGTGCAGTTAGTTAGTTATTTTTTGTTTCTAACTTCGTTGCCCATGGAATGAAGGGAGAAAGGAGTTTGTTTGTAATTGGACGACTTATTCTACTTGCAAATGATAATTTTTCCTGCATTGGGGAATTTTTTGACTGCGCTTTCATTTCAATTTAATCTGCAACGCGATTGCAACGAGACCTAGGTATACGGAGAAAAAAAAACTATGCAACGAGACCTAATTATACGGAGAAAAAAAACTGGGATTGAAGACGGAGCTAGAAAACAATATTCTACGAGAAAAAATTAGCTAGAAAAAAGAAGAGGAAACCATCCACAATTGTGTTGTGATTGTACTTTTATTTCATGTTAATCTTGACCTTGTGTTCCTAATTAAATACCTGTCTGTCACGTCCATTCGAAGCCAATTGGACTTTGCATCACTTCTCGATAAAAATAACGAAACGCAGTTTTTATTCAAATTTTTTATAATATTCTTTTTAAAATTAGGTTAGTTAGTCTTAATTTACCAGGGGTATTTGCAAACTTCTTATTAAATTGTAAGTGGTGATAATGAGTATGATTTCTGGAAAGACGTTTGGCTTGGGTAGAGAAGAAAGCGAGATCATGTCTGTCATACCCTTAGATGGCTCTTGGGATGGCAAGAAATTGAGAAAATCATCCAAAATATCGTTATTCCAGTTTGACACTTGTGAAGTTTACCTGTGCGAAGGAGACAAACTAGATTCGAGGGCAATGAGAGCTTTTCTCATCGCGTGAATTTCAAGTTTGATGAAATTCAATGAACCTAACATGGACATTCATTGTTTATATCCAATCTTACTGAGTGTAGATGACGTCAAAATATTACACCAAGGCTGAAACTTTTTTTAAATACATCGCAAATGCAATGAAAGGGAAATTCTACAATTGAAAATAAAAATTTTCAGCCAGGAAGTTTTCGGCTCATTTTATTTTCTCTGTTTTCAAGTTTCAACGAACCCACAATTATTTCATCTGGCGAATTGACAATTTCAGTTTTCAGCTGAAGTTATGCTATTGAAAAAAAACTAAAATGAGTTAATATTTGATTGTAATTGTAGTAAGATTAGAAGAAAAAACTAGGGGTCTGGGGGACGTTTTGGTGTATGTGGTTGCAGTTGAATTGGTGATTCTGTTAGAGAAGAATTTTGCAGAGGGCGGAAAGGAGAGGCGTGCGTATATGTGTGTTGTGGCCGCTCTGTTTTATTCTAAGAATTTGCAAACAAATGATTCGATAAATCTGTTATAGAAGTCTCGTTTCGTAAGCTTATATATTCGGTTCGGTGCTTTTCTCGTATCCGCGAACCAATGTCGTAAAATCCAAACAGTTGCAGCTTACTCTACCTTAGTCAGAACAGCAAAAACTGTTCGAGTTTTATTTAACAAGAGCCAGCAAAAAACCGCGGACAATTGATAAGTCGAAACGACCGCGGTCAATTGAAAAATGAAGCGTATCAATTCCAGATGTTGCACAAATTGAGTTAGTAAAATCATGAGATTAATTATGGTAACAAATTGAATCCATGATGACTAAAATCAATTGCTTGAAAATTAGTTTTTGGGATGAGAAATGATTTTTAAAAAAAGTACGTTGTCTCAGTTGGAAAAAACACGTTTTCTCAAAAAAAGCTGAGCTGGATTGAAAAAATTAATGGGGTCTTGGGGATATTAACCATACTATCTCTCTAAGTGAGAAACTTTTTGATATGGAAAAAGAAAAATAGTTTGGCAAAATTGCATTGGGTTTCCATAGCAGTCCAACTGTGTAGCGGTAAACTTGTTGGGTGATTCGGGTGAAGTTAATTCGATAATGTTAATTCGGGTGAAGTTCCATAGGCTTCCATTCTCGAGGTGTTGACAAGGAGTCCTGAAAGGTCTGTGTCATCCGGCGATTCTGTTTCATGGGTTGAAGGGACATGAAAGGTATTTCTTCCTAACATGCGGCAGTTGAGCCTCCAATGGTCCAGCCACGGTCTGCTGCGATTGCTCGAGGTGGTCGTAATAAAGTCGATGCTGTCTTTTCCAAGGAGAACTGAGACCTGATTGTTATCAAAGTCGGTAAATGTGAGTTCGCAAAGGTGATTGCAGACTCAGCAGATGCCGTTGAGTGTGTTCGGTTGAACAGTACAAATGTAGTTTGGCTTTGTTCTACTTGTAGGTAGTCGATTGTTGATTTCACTAAATAGCTGTCGTTGCTACCGTTGCCTAGAAAGTTGTTAGTGCTGATGTACTTGTTTCCAGTTATCAACGTAAATGGCAAGTAGAGTAAGAGAGAGTTCGTAAATCTCTGTTGTTGTCGATTCAAGGAGTTATGCGTCCGTGATGAATGCTGTGATGATGGGAAAGATAACTTTTGAGATGAGCTGCTGGTAGTAGGTTTTTCGTCGTGAAGGCTGCTGTGATGTAGTCGCTTGCAGGTTGCACATGTTCGCTTGGAGGGTCTTTCACTATATGTTGTCCTAAGCAATCGAGGCAAAGGCTTTCCGAGAGGATGAGTTTTCATTTTGCTTCAAATTACTGGTGTTTGTACTTGTCGCTATAGGAAGAGTGTTGTTTCTGGTTGCAGATATTTTCTGTGGGAATCCTTTGTTGTTGGCTGAAGGATGGTTATCGTTTCAATTTGATTGTCTATTTATTTCCGGTTAGGTTCAATCGAGTTGTGAAGAATGCGTGAGGGGTTCCTGATGCTACAAAAGTCTCCTCGGGGAAGGTATTCGCAGGCCAAGGCAAGATTCCGTAACCAGTCTTTAAACAGGGCAAAATTTGGCTGCTGAATTTCGTTGTCTACAAAGATACTGGGTTCATGCTTCACTGTGATGGAGCTTGTTGACTGCAAATTGTACATAGATTGTCGAGTTGAAGTCATTTGCAAATCCAAGAGTTTTGAAGGTTAGCAAAGTTGCTAACGAAAGATGAACACTCCATGTGTGAGTAATTTTGATGTGTCGATGGCGACCGATAAGCTCGTAGTAATCAGCGTTAGTTGCTGAAGTAATCTTTGGGACGGCTAGGCGTTTGATCAATTTTTGGTGGCTGTCAAGACTGTTGTTCAGTTGATGTTCAATATATGTGAAGGTTTCGATTATGTTGCTGGTTGTCGTCTGCTTCTACTGGTGCAGTGAGACTGTGCGTCTGCTTCTAATTCATTGATGTTGATGTCCGTACTTTCGATGTTTCTAGCGTTTTCAATTTGTTGAATGGCTTTTTGCAGGCGTTTTTGATTGAAACCGTGTCAAAAGGCTTGCTTTTCCTGGCATTTCGGTTTTGTCTGCTGGCTTTTTAATTCTTGTTGATTTAATCCATACCTCAAACCCAGAAAGCGAGAGTAAATTGTGAACAAGTAAATTTTATTCGAATTCAAGAGGTAATGGAAACAAATATCATAAATCGTAGTGAGAAAATTGTGTATAAATTTTGCCGATATCTCGAACGAAAGGAGATAAAATAATTTTAAGTGAGAGGACGTAAATTACGTGTATCACCTGAGAGTAGCATAAAATTTTGTACAGAGTATAAAATTAAAAGTTTTAACCAAGTGCCAAGAGAAGCCGAACCTTTTTTATCTGCAGGGGAAGAATATTGAAACCGCAGAACAAAGAGGGTCGTTTGTACTTAAACACCAATTTTCTATTGTTTAGTTGCGTTTCTAAAATAGTGTTTCAGTTTTCAAGTAGTTCTTTCTAAAGTTATGTTGTCCAATTTCAGTACTTTGAGTTAAGTTGTCTTCAATTAAATGTGTTCATGCAATGGGCAAAGTCAGTGCGTGTCAGGCTTTATATCGTGAGTTGAAAGTCATGGTAAGCTAGTCGATTTGTAGCACTGCTCAAATCGGGCTAACATAAAAATTGAACTTTCACTTTGAGGCAGAAGAACTGATGAAGAAACTAGAAATCGTTGCATTGAAGAAAAATCCAAAAGCACAGCTTTGAACTGCGTGATGGTAAAGAGCTAAGTTAAACGAGACGACATTCAAAAGCATGTTGAATAGCTTTGGCTCAAACACAATATGTCACCAATCCATGGTGAAATTTGGAGAGAGACGTCAACGTGATATTGAAGGAAATGATAATTCGCTGGATCATATTTATGTGTTTCCCAGAAAAATCAAACCCCAGTTTTGCCATTGCAGCTTTGCTAGACAAAACATTAACGCAGAATGAAAAATTAAAAACAAAAAATGAGAGGAAATTTTTGAAAAGACCAAAAAATGGCTACTACTATGTTGAATTTTGCCACTGGATCTTTTTGATTAAAGCCACGTTATAACATGAATAAGATAAAATTTTAGGGTGATTTTGGTTCCATGGATCAACGCGTGTCAGCTTGTCCCACCTACTAACAAAGGATGAAGAAAAATGGTTTCTATCTTGATGACACACAGGCAACATACAAGGATCAGCAAGATTTCGTTAATGTAAAAGAAAAAATTAGCTCTTACTGTTTCTTCTGCAATTTGAAGGTAATCATCAAGAGGGACAAATCTGAGACCAAGTAGCTGACGTCAAACATCACCGGAACCAGGAATCGCTGTCAAGGCTAAGTTCAATCAGGTCACGATTGATGAATGAAGTCGAATTGAGGAAGAAAAAGGTCCATGGAATTCTCGCAGTTAAAAAAATTTAAATAGTAAACGCGCAGTAAGTTAGTTTAGATATTCATACGCAGCTTCCGAATCCCTTGAAGTGGCTTATGATCTGGCTGCAAATAAAACAGTGCCGGAGTTGCAGCAAGACTGAAGTGGCTTAGATCTTGCTGCAAATTTGGCAATGTTTTCTTTGCAGCCAGATCATCAGCCACTTCATGGGATTCGGAAGCTAGGTATGAATATCCGAACTAACTTGCTGCTCTTTTACTGTTTTAACCTTCTTAGCTGCGACGGTTCCAGGTGAGCTTTTTTAATCCTCAATTCGAAGTCATTCATCAGTCGTATACGGAGAAAAAAACTATGAAAGAAGACGGAACTGGAGAAAAATCAGCTACGGAAAAAATTAGCTACGAAAAAAGAAGAGGAATCCATACTCAAGAGTAACTATTGATAATGAAGTGGTCCCTTTTATTTCCTTTCGCTGAGGAAGAAACTAGAGGTGTGTTTTTGCCGCCGCGTTTTTTTGTAAGCTTTAGGAAGGGTTTTGATTATTCTGTGATAGGAGCCTCGTTTAATAAGCTAATATATTCGATTCTAAGCCTCCTCAATCGACCATGTGTCGGTGTTGACCGTGTTTTTATTGATGATCTCTCGTATCCGCGAAATAATGCTGCTAAATCCGATCAAATATAGTTCGCTCTACCTTAGTCAGAAACAAATTGCTTCAATTTTATTGAATCAGAGCCAGCAAAAAACCGCGGAAAATTGATAGGTCGAAACGAGGGCGATCAACTGAAAAATGAAGCGTATCAAGTCCAGATTTTGCACAGTTTGAGCTCGTAAAATCTTAAGACTGATTATGATAATAAATTTAATCAATTGCGTCAAAAATTAGATTTTGGGATGAGAAATGGTTTAAAAAAAGTACCTTG